TGTCTACTACATACCCTGGGAAGTTCTCAAAGTAATTGGAGGTGAAGATGGACCTTCCTATCCTATAGATGTACCTCCACATCTAAGGACATACCATGTCTTTCATGCGTCTAAACTGCTACCCTACGTAGAAAGTGATAACTTTCCGAATAGACCATCTCCATTTCCACCCTCTATGAATGGAGGCTATGAAGTTGAAAAGATATTGGAACAAGGCTATTTTTCTACAAGTGGCAGAGGATGGCCCCAGAAGCAGTACAAGGAAAGTTCAAGACCCAACCTCCATCTGAAGCCAGATGATTTAGTAGGAAAGGACTCCTACCCACTGCTCCTAACATTGTTGCTGCATATGAACGTGGGTTAAGTGAGAATTGATGTAGTTTCTGCGATGGAACTCGAAAACTGGGCCGACAGGAATGCAATAACCCATGCCATATGTCTCGTGGAAAGACTGAGGGCCAACTCGGCCGCCCTCAGCCCAGGACGAAACGGGGGCAAAAAGGACCTCAAACAAAGACTCAGAGCCTGGACGTATGACAGTTGAGTTTGGTCAATTGTCGTGACCCCAACAGTCAAAGTCCAAAGGTACCTAGCCCAGGTCACTGGTTAAGCACACACACTTGTTTGTATGCAGGTACCCAAACAGCATCAGGTCCAAGGGAGAAGTCTGCAACTGCACAATCCAGGCCTTCAGCTGTGAGTCAATCTGGACGACTGTGTGGAAAGCACCCGAGGCCAGACAGCCTCGACAAATGCTACTTAAGGCTGGCCTCGAGGGGGTCAAGTATTCAGTCTTGCTATGCTGTTTTGAAGCTGGCTTGACTTTGACTAGACGCTGGCATTATGCTGTCTCGACGCTGGCTAGACGTTGGCTGTGCATTGGCGATGCGGACGACGACACGAGGTGGAGGCAGCATGCTGGCGCTTTCTGCATTGTGCGCCAGGCTTGCTGAGGTGGCATGCTGATGTGGCGCTACCTCTGGTCTACATTGCATGCTGATGTGGCGCTACCTCNCATGCTGATGTGGCGCTACCTCTGGTCTACATTGCATGCTGATGTGGCGCTACCTCTGGTCTACATTGCATGCTGATATGGCACTACCGATGGTCTACATTGCATGCGGATGTGGTGCTACCTCTGGTCTACATTACATGCTGATGTGGCGCTACCTCTGGTCTACATTGCATGCTGACATGGCGCTACCACTGGTCTTCATTGCTGATGTGGCATATGCCACCTGTTTCGACTGTGGATGTGGCATTGTCCACGCTGTCTACATGAGGTGACTGGTTGCGAGGAGGAGGAAGATCGGGATTTGTGGATGAAGGAGGTCGGGTACTCACTTGAGGTTGACGTCTTCACTGGAATCTGCTATGTCTTCATGGTCTTCACGAGATAAAATGCCACGTGGCACTATTGTGTGTGATCAGGAATTAACTTATTATCATTGTTGACGTGGAGAGGGAAGAAGCCCGGAGAAGGAGCGGGTTCAGAAGGGATTACTATGTGATCTTTCATCTTCTTCTTTGTCTGTTCCCCCTCCACTCTCTTCTTGTGATGGTAATGAGATACAGTTTGAGATATCACTTCACGATTTGGAGACTTTGATGCAGATAATGAGACTACTGACATTTGACGACTTCTGAGTATCTGCCAGACTGGGTTCATTACAATACACAAAGGGACGATATAATGCAATCTAGCACAGTGGAAGATTCAAAGATATGACCTGACTCGTCAGACTCAGACTCGACTCACACAGACATCACCGCACATGTTGAATTAGCAAGGAGGGGAGTCATGCATGGAAGGAACACCCCTCCTTGCACACACGTATGGGGAGCAAGCCATAGATGATGGAGGTGGGGAGGGCATGAAGAAGAGAGAAGGGGGAGAAGACCAGAGTACAACTTGAAGTAGTCCAAAAATAGTCTCTCCAAGTCCCCTGTCAAATGTCCAATGAACGTCTCTCCCAAAATGTCGAATTGGATCCTGGGCGCTCATAGGCCCAGAACGTCTCTCTCTCTCTCTCTCTCTCTCTCTCTCTCTCTCTCTCTCTCTCTC